TACTGGCTGGATGTTCACTTTATACCTGTTAGAGTAGGCGGCTTAGACCAATCGTTACTGTCGCTGTAGTTCCCGACGAAATTACAGACCACCTGTGTCCGTCCTCATTATACTAGCCACGCCCTATAGGCGTTTATTCAGGGCGGGATCTTAGCTCTATGAATGGGAAGCCACGCCTCTACTATGGTCGCTAGTGGGTATCGGAGGGCGGTCTAGACGTATGGGTGCTGATGGATGTGTGTAAGAGAAGCCAGGATCTCTAGGATAATTCTTCTGCACATTCTCAGTGGAGAAGCAGGGGCAATCTGAATTATATTATATAGCTCATCTATTCTACTCCAAAAGATTATAGACAATATATGATTATCCTTGTCTAAATTATGTCATGTAGTGTTTAAAGTTGTATACACGTTCTAGCTCCTCAGCATGGTCCAAATAAAATCTGGATGGTAACTATGCAAAGTGTGAAAAAGCACTTAAGTTATATTCAGGGACTAAGTTATCTCATAACCTACCCTGATCCAGCTATCCCTTCATCTCTATGTGGTGGTCAAGCCCCATATTTCTAAATGTCTTAAAGGTATACATACATAGTTATACAGCAGTACCTATCCTCCTATTTACACCTCTATATAAAGAACATATATTCAATATCGTATACAAAAACCGCAAAACCCACATATATACATATTTACATGAATTGTAGTTACAGAGTGTATATTCCTATGAAGGGTCAATAAATGGAGTAAACGTAAACCCCTCATTAAGACCCTTAGGTGATAGGGTATCAAACTTGTGGATCCAGAAGCATTCCCTTCTTAGCAGCATCTGGTCCAGATCACCTCCTCTTCTTCCCACATGAATTTTTTCAATGCCCGCAAATTTGATGCATTTAGGTGTATCCATATGATTGAGTCTCACATGCCTAGCCACAGGGGTATCTCTATTGGAGGTCACCGAATGTATATGCTCCATTGTGCGTCTCTTGAAGGGGCGTATAGTCTTGCCCACATATTTCATGCCGCACTTGCATGTTAACAGGTAAATCATACCTGAGGTGTTACAGTTAAAGAAATGTTTGATGGGCATTGTTATGGTGTTCGTGGAGTCAGTAAGAATTTTAGAACCTTTAGCAATATAGCTGCATGCCACACATTTACCACACTGATATGTGCCATGCACTGTAATCCAACTGTTTTTTTATTTTTCCTGGTGTTGACAAATGGCTGGGCACTAGTATCTCCCTGATGTTTTTGCCCCTTCTAGCTGTAATGGACACTTTTGATGGAACCGTGTCTCGAAGGTGTGGATCTTGAGTTAGGAGTGGCCAGAAGCGTCCCAAGATCTTCTTTGCATCTTCCCAACCTGCGTCATAATTAGCTATGCATCTAATCTGTTTAGACTGTTGTTTCGTAGTGTTCTGTAGCAAGGTCTCACGATCGCATTTAAGAGCTCTTTGATACGCTTGCTTAAGGCATCTGCCAGGATAGCCTCTTTCTTTGAATCTCTGTCTCAATTCTAAGGCCTTACAGTGAAAATCCTCAAGGGAAGAACAGTTTCTTCTCAGTCTTAGATACTGACCTACTGGAATTTTTAAAGGGATGGGATGATGGCTCTCCCATCTAAGCATATTATTTGTTGATGTGGGTTTGCGATAGAGAGTAGTTTTCACCTCCAAACCCTCGGTTAGTGTCAGTGTGCAATCCAAGAAGTTAAGTGTTTGATCACCTAGCTCCATGGTGAACTTGAGGTTGAGGTTGTTCGTATTCAATCTATTAACAAAATCCACAAAAGAGTCCTTGGTTCCAGTCCAGATCACGAAGATATCATCTATATACCTTTTCCATAAATAAATATGATCGGTATACTCTTTATACAGTTCTGAGAAGACAATCATATTTTCCCACCACCCTACAATAAAGAGGATTTTTACTTTATTTTATTTTCATATGTAATTGCAATACCCAGAGAACTCTTTCTGTGTTCCTGTGGCTTTTTGGCCAGGGATCATCTTTAGTATTTTAAACACACAAATAGCCAAATGCCAAAACACTATAAAATAATTCATGGTCGCTAACTCAGCAAAAGCTCTCCAGTGGACAAGGCAGCTTTATTATGAGAAATCCAACAAAGCTGACACACTACTAGCCCTCAAACTCAGAGCTGCCTACAAACACATAAAAAAAATAAAATCCCCAAAGGGCAAAATCTAGACCTACCTGAAAAAATAGCCAAAATTTACAAGAGTACTTCCCCTCACACTACGACCACAGCCCACAAACACGCCTCAAACCCGAAGAAACTGCACATAAGATAAATGACTATCTGAAATCTATTAACTTACCGACCCTCTCCCCAGCAGGAGCCAACAAATTGATCGCCCCGATTACACCAGAAGAAATAGCTAACACATTCAAAACACTCAAACTAAACAAATGTCCTGACCCAGATGGTTACTCGGGCCTCTACTACAAAATGTTCGCCCCGCTACTGATACCACACCTAAGAACCCATTTTAATTAGCTCCTTGATGGAGACACATTACCACACAATATGTTTCAGCCAAACATATGCCTTCTCCCAAAACCTGACAAGTCGCACCTGGAACCAAGCCATTTCCGTCCCATATCACTGTTGACATAAAAATATTTACGAAACTAATGGCAGACAGACTTAATCCCTTCCTCCCCAAACTCATACACCCCGATCAAGTAGGGTTCATACCAACAAGACAAGCTAAGGACAATACCAGACAGACGTTTGACCTCATCTGGTACATAGC